GATGAACAAGATAGGCTTGAAGCTCCGATTCAACTGCTGATCGGTGGCTTTCTTCAAACACCCGAAGGCGGCTCAGGCTGCTTTTTCCTGTTGAGTCTTTCCTAAGTCGCTTTCCATGTTCATGGAACGTCCAAGATAAACGTAAAAAGACGTCTTCATTTTCTTCCAGTTCCATTTCCCATCCTCGCAAGGATATTAATCTTCTTCCCTAGTCGATAGTTTCTTTAGCATCGTCCGCTTCAGTGATGCTGCTCAAACAGAGGGCGATTTTATTCGCAAAACAAAGGTTTGGAAGGAGTCCATCAATCGTATGCCTTTCTTAGTCCAGTGACTTCGTCACTCACTGCAAACCCGCGTTGAACAGTTGCGGCGAAATTGTGTCGATTTTTCGGACCCTCTTCCCAATAAAGATGGTCAGGAGGCGATGAAATAGCTGCATAGTCGTTGTGCAGTCCTTGTAGCGATCTGGCGCTGACGATGCATGGTGGGACTAGGGCAGACGCATTTTACGGTTGGACTAGGGAAGAGGATAATTCAGGATGAAATTAACAGCTCTTACAAGGTCTCAACATGTCAGCCCAAGTTGACCAATTATCACTGGTAAACACATCATTCTGGGAACAGCTTACACGGTGGAGATCATTCTGCTTTGTAGTATTACCCGAGTGGTGGTCCAACAAGCGACATTGCGTAATTGCAGCCGGGACAACGAAGGTAAGTCTCCCTCCACGTAAGCTGGGTCCACTCCCTGATCGACTAACGCTGACAGGATGGTGTTGGTTTCGACGCTGTCAAAAGGCTTTCTCGTAGTCGACCAAGGTTAGGTCGAGAGATATCTGCACTTTTAGCAGACTTCTATGACCCTGGAAACCGTTCGATTGTGATCCATGCAGCTAAACCCTTTGTCAAATTCAGTGTCCAGTATATGCGAGCGAAGATATGGTGGAGAGCTTGTACAATACACTTAGCAGGCATATCGGAAGGTAGTTTCGAAGATGTTTCCCGCTCTCCCTTTTCAAAGAGAAGGGCGGTCCTTGGAGTTCTTCACTGGCTGGAAAACCTTTCCTTTTGAAGATGTGATGTTAGACGTTAGGCGGGATTCTCATGCATACGTCCTCGGCTTGCAGAAGTTCGACGGAAAGATGATATAATCCTGGAGCCATGGACCTCTTCATGGCTTGATGGGAACAACGGGCATCGGCACGGGTGATGATGAGCGGGAGAGGTTGGTGTAGAAGTACTTCACGATGGATTCCATCCTACATTGGATAGAAGTTGGAGTCCCGTCTTCGTTCATAGTGCAGCCAGCGGTACATGATATTCACAGAGGTTTCTTCGGCACTTCTTGAGACTTCGTCTTTGTTCGGTTTGTTCGGCCGCTTCCAATATCTTGGCTTTCCTGTGCTTCCTGAAATCCTCCTGCAAAGCTGTTCGGCAATTAGCGTTGGCTATCAGTCGCTCGAGATGAATTGCATTCAGATCTTGCATTAAGGATTTTTTTGGAGCAGTTCCTTGGTGGCTTTCAAAAAGCCCTTCAAGCTATCAGAAGTCGCTGAGGTACATTCTCGGCAGGCTCGCAGTCCTTCAGAAGCCGGTTGTTATCGTGCAGTTGGTCTTCCGCGGTGGGCCAGTTAAGCCTGATCTGAGCTTTTCCAGCCTGTCACCGTCGTGATTCTTCCTTCTCGCGACACTTTGGCAGATTTTCTTTTCCAGCTTTCGTTCAAATCATACCTGTACTCGAAGATGGCAGTGATCGGAGCTACTGCTGAAGAATGGAACTACTAAGCAAGCCCACTTGCGGTTGGTGAAGGCGTGCTCGATCCCCATTCCATGTCCAGCGGCAATATTCTTTCTTCATGAAGATGGAGTTTTCATGAAGAGTCGTACTGCGGAGAGAATTCCAACAAAACGATTGCCGTTTTCGTTCGCTCGTTCGAGCCTATACACTTCCCGATCCTTTATTCCTATATTATATTATTACTATATTCCTTTTCTAATATGATCCCGATTTTCGCATTGAAGTCGCCCACAACCAACTTGTGGAAGGACTTCTCTTGCGGACGATCTCCTCCTCAACATCTTCGTAAAAAGCATCTAGTTCTGATTTGTCAGCTGCTGATGTTGGAGAGTAGCAGTTGATGATGCTGATGGTCTTCTGAGGTGGAGCAGTCGTAGGATGGTAGTCGAGGTGATAAGATTTCATGCGGATCGACAAGATGGACGATAGATGGATGGACGACAAAGCCAACGCATTAAACGTTTCATCATGGAACTTTCTCACCACGAATGATGAGTGTTCCATCACTCATCTGTCACACGTCCTTCTTCCTGATTGGTTTCCTGCAGACGATAACCTGGTACTTGATGTGCTCTGCAGCGTCGAGAAGAGCGTGGAGGTCGGCGTTTGTGGAAACTGTCCTGGCGTTGTAGGTGCAAAGCATGAGGCAATCTCCATGGCGTGTCGTCCGGACAGACATGTCGTTTTTGTGCGATCCAAAAGGTGCCCTGAGTACTTTGACATCGTTCTTGCTACCACCCGGCGTCGTAGGCGGGGTCCGATGTAGGACTTTTCTATATCTTCTTGCTGACAGAGTAATAAGATTTGTTCCCCACAAGAGCATACTTACTAGACCTACTCTTGATTTTCACGGGGCGATCGCTGACCCATTTGTGAAGCTGGGAGGTCTGGCGATCGGAGGAAGCCAGATGGCGGGGGATCCGGCCCGATCGGCTCCTAGCGAGGCATCCGGTCGAAACCGGTAACATCGAACTCGTTTACATTTTGGGAGGCTTTACCGGAGTATACACTCTGCTGCATCGTAGTTCGACACCCAGCGTTCATCCCCATGCCACGTTGAGGCCGCCGACCATTTGGGAGATTGTCCATTGATGACGGGAAATCGATTGAAGGTTTGGAATCGGCTCTCGTCATACTTCGCAACCTTATGCGAGGAGCAAGGGACTTCTAAAATACAGAGCGTAAAATGTTCTTTGACTTGCTGGCGATGCTCAAAAAGCTTCTTCTACCGCTCTGTCGTCGTCCTCCTTCTCGTAGTTTGAATGGATTTTTAGTTGAATACACAACACGAGGAGGATGTTATGGCGCAAATGTATGTGCTGCTTCAAGTCATGTTCATCACTTTCGGTAAATGGAATCATCTGAAGCATCTCAGTTACTTCGAGCTGAGAGATCAGATAAGTGAATCAAGCTGTGGGTAGCGAAGTAGGGAGGAGAACGACAAGAGCAGCAGAACTTACATAAGCGAAGGAGACAAAGAATAAAAAATGAAAAAATTGGAGAAATTTCGAGAACTTGAGCGCTAACTGGGGACAAACCTTTCGTCTATGACACTCAACACAGAAAAGGTAGCAAGGATCCACGGCAATCTTTGTAAAACTCTTCACTCTTGAAGCTGTTGGGCGCATCGGATGATTACTGCTGTGATTTGCATATGTAGCATTTGACTGATCTCCTCGTCGTTGAAGGTGAGAAGGCTCCAACAATAAATGCTAATGAAATGGTTATTCGATCATCTATCGTTCACACTGTCGTCCATTCGCACGAATACTATGCCACTACCATCTGGCATCACTCATCGCGTCAATTTGCTATCAGCATCATCAACCATTAATCGCCATCAGCGGCTGTTGGGTCAGAAGAGTCTCCTCTAAGATGTGCAAAGGTTTGGAGCAAGAAACCTCTTACAAATATTGCAGAGATTTTGACGCTAGAGTTGAGATGTCGATGGTAGACTAGTGAAAAGGTAGTTTGGCTATGGTTTTTGGATTGCGGGGCGAGGCGATCTCCATTTAAGAGCTCTTTCAAACGAGAGGGGATACAATCGATGCTTAGGTCATATGAATGCGTCTGACGCTTTCAACAATCTTTAAGGGTATTTAGGAACAGATTATATATACAGGGTGTCCCAAAAGTAAGTACACACTTTTCAATCGTTGATATCTCACTTCCCTTTGGGTCTTTTCTCGCCATTCAAGTACCATTCTGTAGAGGAGGCTTCAACTTAGATCTACAGTATCGAGCGAATTACTGATCGCTCTTCATTACTGTAGGATTACTGTAAGAACTTCGGCAAGATTTTAAGCCATTGGAAGCCATATTTTGCCTCGGAGCAAAACCAAACAACCCAAAAACTCTAACACTATGGTAATGGAAGCCGCTGATTTCGAGTATGAAATTTCCGCTTTACTGCGATGCTTCTTTCCAAACTTATCCCAAGTAAACCGTAATAACCGAACTCCCAGTATCAGTTTGAAATGTGATTACACCTTCAAAAAAGCTGAGAACTCGTAAAAAGTTGTGTAGTGGAATCAGCGTGCGCGAAAATCTTAGTACACGATTTTTCAACTTTTTTGAAAAAAATTTGTCAGATGGCGTATTTCACAATGGCTCCATGTGCTGAAAGTTCTTACCGTAATCCTACAGTAACGAAGAGCGATCGGCGATTCGACCGATAATGTAAATCTAAGTTAAGGCTTCCTCTACACAATGACATTGATTGGCCAAAAAAGACCCATTGGGAAGAGAGATATTGACGATTGAAAAGTGTGTACTTACTTTTGGGACACCCTGTATATTTGTGATGAACGGATTAGTGCTGTAAGCAATGCATGAAGCGATGCTGACAGAAAATTAGGAATACAAAAATTGTTATCACTGAAATCTGAAGAAGTAGATAAATAGTAAACATCTTAACAAGTGGTCTTTTCTCTTATAAGAAGCAATTTTGGATTGTGGGAAAAATTTATTGGCCGAAAGTAAGCAACACATTGAAGGGCTTAGAATAGAGATAGACTTTTTCAAATATGGAATTTGTCCATCCACTTTCGCAGTGCCTGATTGTCAGCATACTATGAGACGCGTTGTTGTAGCAAGCAGTTTGTAACTCTCGTTGATCATCATAGCTTTACTCATTGTTAAAGTGTGCTCTGATCAATTTTGACATTCCAGAATTCACAAACAACCTTCGTTTTCTGCAGTCATGGCTTTACTGCAGAAAACGTTGCTCTTTATCGCGGCATGGAGCCGAGTCGATGCTTTTGAAGCAGATGGTAAGCTTTTTAGAAGTTAATAGTTTATATCGTTTATCGAATTTGGTTTCGTAGAAGATGGAAGAAACCATAAGTAAACTTATATTTTCTCTAAAGCCTCATCCAATCCACCCTCCTTTTTAACTTTACGACTAAGTTTATGTGAGATATGGGAGGAACTTGGTTGTATGCTTCATTTTAGAACAAAGCAAATTCGTTCTTTTATGTTAAAGGTATATCTCCCAGATTAGAGCAAGAATTCTATGGTTTCAAAAAGGTGATCATTTTTGTTTGAAATCATAAATTGATAATTGTAGATTACACCTTTGGCCAATTCTGCAGGCGACCGCCGAACTTCGGTGCAGGAAAGTTGATTGTAAGTACAGCTTAAGACTTTTAGAGCAGACATGTTTTTACATAGCACGGAAAGTCTGGATCAGCCAATACGTTTTAAGATCTGATACGCATTGCGTTGAATTAAATAGACTAAGCAGTTTGGTCCTATCCGTTCTGTCGTTTCACACAGCTCAGCTCAAGCAGAAATCCTGGGAAGGGATTTGGTATCATTTTTCCTGCAAAAAGCGTGTGAAGAAATGGCGACAACTACCTGTCGCTTACCTTAAAGGCAGTGGCTCGGATACTCTACCTGAAGGTTTTCGCTTACTTGGGATAGTTGGACTCGCTGATTTCGAAAATATAGTTTGAAGAGCACGAAAACGTTGAAAACAAGCATTTTTTAAGGGTTCTCATTTTGAATTTGGACGAGTGGACCGCTCTCTGCCATGGTTAGAGACGTAGAGTCGTAGCGATACCCTCGTGTTTATAGCATTGCGGCATGCCGCCTCCGACGGTGGGAGGGGAAAGGCAAGCTCGTCTGAGCCCGTGTAAGAATGGCGTGTGCATGTGCACGGGTTTAGGGGCGGTATTTTAGGCAGAGGCAGCATGGACTGTGCTCGGGCCTGCTCTGTTCCGATGACGTGGGATGCAAGCAATCTTACTTACTTACTTAGATACTTGGATGGCCCGTCCTCACGTGGCGTGCGGGCCCCAGTACAGAAGTTGCCATTTTCCCCTGTCCCTCGCTTCAGACATCCACGATCTTCTTGGCCGTCAGTGGCTGCGTTTCCAGGGGCAAAAGTCGTATTCAGCTGATTTCTCGGCGGGCCCATCCGTCCCACGACCATGCCCATCTTGTTAGAGTCTTTCTTGGGGACGTTTGGCTTCGCGAGGAATCCACTCAGATGTTCTTAGTGTCCATCTCTGTTCTTCTCATTATGTGACCGGCCATCGGTGTTTGGCTTTCGCAACGTATTCCGTTGGGTCACGAAGACGGGACATTCTTCTCATATCCGTGCTGCGAAGTCCGACTAGATGTTGCTTGCGTCGGGTCATCTTCAGAAGACTGCGCTCGAGCGCTCTGTGGGTGGTCCGTAAAGCTTTCGACGTGGCTACAGTATCGGCCCAAGTCTCAGCTGCGTAACAGAGCGCCGAGAGAACGGTTGAATCGAACAGGTGGGCACGAAGCTCCGGGTCCGTCAGTTGGTCGGTGGCTTCCTTCAGAGGCCCGAAGGCGGCCCAGGCTGCTCTTCTCCTGTTAAGTTCTTCCCTTAAGTCGTTCTCCATGTTCATCGAACGTCCCAGATACACGTAGGAAGACGTCTCCATAATAGGGGTGCCTTCCAATTCCATTTCTGCATCTTCGCAAAGGGCGTTCCTCATGAACTGAGTCTTCTTCCGATTCATTCGCAGTCCGATCTTCTTCCCTACTTCGTTTAGTTCCTTCGGCATCGTCTCTGCTTCGGTGATACTGCTCGAGAAGAGAACGATGTCGTCCGCAAAACGAAGGTTGGACAGGAATCTCCCATCAACTCGTATGCCTCTCTCGTCCCAGTCCAGTGACTTCATCACCCACTGCAAGGCCGCGGTGAACAGCTTCGGCGAGATTGTGTCGCCTTGTCGGACCCCCTTCCCGATTGGTATGGTCAGGGGGCGATGGAACAGCTGTATCGTTGTTGTACAGTCCTTGTAGCAGTTGGCTAGTGTCCTCACGTAGGCTGGGTCCACTCCTTGATCGACTAGCGCTGACAGGATGGTTGGTTTCAACGCTGTCGAAGGCTTTCTCGTAGTCGACGAAGGTTAGGACGAGAGGCAGTCGGTACTCCCGGCAGACTTCTATGACCCTCGAAACGGTCTGGATGTGGTCCATGCAGCTGAATCCTTTGCGAATTCCAGCTTGTTCTTGGGGTTGGGCTTCATCCAGTGTCCTTGATATGCAAGCGAGGATAATCTTCTTGAAAAGCTTGTACAGTACACTCAGCAGGCATATTGGACGATAGTTCCGAAGATCCTCCCGTTCACCCTTCTCGAAGAGAAGGACGGTTCTTGACGTTCTCCACTGGTCGGGGATCTTCTCCTTCTGAAGGTAAGATGTCAAATGCGACGCTAGAATCTCGTGTAGACGGTGTCCTCCGGCTCGCAGAAGTTCGACGGAAAGATGATTTGGTCCTGGAGCCGTGGACGTCTTCATGGTCTGTATCGCGATACGCACTTCAGCAGGTAGAATTCGTGGTGGTACTTCTCCAGTAGGAACAACGGGCATCTGCACGGGTGTGGATGAGCGGAAGAGGTTGGTGTAAAAGTTCTTCGCGATAGATTCCATCTTGTATCGGGAAGAAGTCGGAGTCCCGTCTTCGTTTAGTAGTGCAGCCAGCGGTACGTGATATTCGCAGAGGTCCCTTCGGCACTTCTTAAGACTTCGTCTTCTTTCGGCTACTTCCAGTATCTTGGCTTGCCTGTATCCCCGAGATCCTTTTGCAAAGCTGTTCTGCTTGGCGTTGGCTATCAGTCGCTCGAGATGGGTTGCATTCGGATCCTGCCTCAGAAATCTTCTTCTTTGGAGCATTTCCTTGGTGGTCTTCGAAATGCGTTCCAAGTTCTTCTCAGGAGTCACTGAGGCGCATTCTCCACAGGCTCGCAATCCTTTTAGAAACCGGTCGTAGTCGTACGTTGGGTCCTCCTCGATGGGCCAGTCACAACTTGATATGAGTTCTTCCAGCCTGTTACCGTCATAAACGACTTCCTTCCTCGCGGCACTATGACAGACTTTCTTTTCCAGCCTTCGGCTGAGTCGTATCTTCGCTCGAAGGAGGCGGTGATCGGAGCCACTACAGAAGGATGGAACTACAGAGACATCGAGTAAGCTCCACCTTCGGTTGGTGAAAATGTTGTCGATCTCAGCATGAGTCGTTCCGTTGGGCGATTCCCAAGTCCACCGACGATGTTCTTTCTTCATGAAGATGGAGTTTCCATGGAAGAGTTGTGCGGCGGAGAGAAGCCCAACGAGACGGTTGCCGTTTTCGTTTCGGAGCCCATATCCAAACTTCCCGATCCTATATTCCTTTTTTAGTGGCATCCCGATTTTCGCGTTGAAGTCGCCCACAACATATTTGTAGAAGGAATTTCGTTGCGGACGACCTCCTCCACGTCTTCGTAGAAAGCATCTAGTTCTGAGTCGTCAGCTGCTGATGTTGGCGAGTAGCAGTTGATGATGCTGATGGTCTTCGACGTGGAGGGCGTAGTCGTAGGATGCCCAGTCGAGGTGATAGGATCTCGCGCGAATCGACAAGATGGACGATAGATGGGTGGACGACAAAGCCGACGCCTCCCACGTTTCGTGATGGAACCTTTTCACCACGAATGATGAGGGTCCCCACTCATCTGTCGCACTCCTTCTTCCTGGACTTCGTTTCCTGCAGAGCGATGATGTGATACTTGATGTGCTCTGCAGCGTCGAGAAGAGCGTGGAGGTCGGCGTTTATGGAGACTGTCCTGACGTTGTAGATGCAGAGCATGAGGCAGTCTCCATGGCGTGTCGTCCGGGCAGACGTGTCGTTTTTGTCCAATCCGAAGTCCGTCCGCAAGCAATCTCCAATATCAAAATTCTGAAATGTTTGGTTTTGCCGAGCCTTTGCCTTCAAGGATGGTTTCGAAAAGATCACCTATAGCAAAGAGACACATCAAGGAAGCTTTGCATAGTTATGCCGAACATAGTAAAATAAGGTGCTGATTGTGAGGTAAAACTTTTCAAAAAACTTTACCTCAGCACCTTGAATGGACTTTTGAAGGCTAGTTATTCTGATTTCACGTGTACAAGACGCACTTGTTTTTTTTTCTAAGTTGGATCATGAACACACCAAAGAATTTTGCGACCAAAATGCACTCTAACGTGCTGCTCCGTACCTACAAGATTTGTGTGGGAGAACCATTTTGCGAGGCACAGTAATGCGGCCAAGCTGCATGCTTAAAAAGTGGAAAAGGTGTAACCTGTACTTGTGAAATCAGGATGATAAAAATGCGCTCATATCTCTTCTTTTATTTTCAGTCAAAAATCTTTCGATCAACTAAGCACAAATTTCGAACAGAATAGATTGAGTCAAAAAGATCATTAAAACATAAAATAAAACGAATACATCAACCATAGATGCAACAAAAGCAAAACAAACGGAGAACAGAAAACAGAAACTTTCATTGATGACACGAATACCTCGTTTTTTTAACTTTATAATCTGATTCATTTTGCTGGGCAAGTTCCCAGTAGGAAGTCTCTCTAAATGGCTAGGGTAAACTCGCTGAGGTCTCAAATCTCTTACTTGTAGATATAGTGTTTATCTTTAACTGTTACAAATAAACACTCTACCTACAAGTATTGGTGTAGGGACTGCAATGGATTTAAGGCGCATCTTTTGCCAAGATGCATCTTACGCCAACAGTGTATACCGTGGGATCAGTGGCGTTCGCAGGATTTTCGTGCTGGGGGAGGAGGGGGGGGGGGGGGGAATTTGAATGAAGGTGCATGGCTGACGCCATGCACTCTGAAAAAATTGTCTGGCAGTGTGTGGCGACTCAAGATTAATAAGTAGCTGGCCTATCTGGTTTGCCCGCGCCATGGCCTTATTTGCCTACATAGTGGGAGTGAGAATTGAAACTCAACAGGGAAATTGCTGCTGTCCTCCTCGCGGCTTCTCCACTTGCTCTTCACCCTTTATCTTCTGCCGTGGTGGTTCGTGAAGTTTTTGACTATCAGCCAATGTCTCAGCTGCGCAGAGGTGCGCTAGGAGAACAGTTGAGTGTGGTTCGAAGCTCTGGGTCAGTCAGCTGGTTGATGGCTTCTCAGAGGCGAACGCGGCCCAGACTGCTCTCTGAGGGGTGCTTTCCATTTCGATCTCTCCGCCTTCGCAGAGGGCATTTTCCATAAACTAAATCCTCTTCCGATATAGTCCAGAAATCCTTCTGTTTTGTCCTTCCTATCTTACGGCGAGAGAATCAACGAGGCCTTCGCCGTTTTTGTTCCGGAGCACAATCCGAATTCCCCGACCTATATTCCTCCTCAAGATTCTTGCAATTAAAGTTGCCTGCAGCAAATTTGAATGGCCTTCCCGCTGCGGGCGACCTCCTCCACCTCTTGCAGATAGCATCTAGGAATCACATTTGTGGAACTCATTGATGGAGGAAAATGGACTTACCTGGTCTATTTTATTGGAGCACCTTAGAAGGTGTCAAAATTAGCTATCGCGGTGTCTTAGGTTTTTATCTCACAACAACCGTGAGGCAAAGGGGTGAACTGAGAATGATTCCTTACCCAAGCTATCGCTCGCAAATTATGTCAAGAGTTTATTTCAAATTGAGTAAGTGGTTTACCTTCTTTTTCATTCCCCACTATTTCTTTGGTAATATCAATACTTCCTGCAGCAAGTTGTGTTAAGTCAACACCATTTTTGAACCTCAAATTCGTTTCTGATAGCGATTTTTTCATTACTTCTTTCATTGAGTCTTTCATTTTAAAGTAGTGAATAAACGAGAAAGGTTTTATATTTCTTACAAAGGCAGAAAGAAGTGTTTTTTGCGAGCACCTTATACTTTGAAAATCTTTAAAAAAGCTTGCTTGTGAACCTGCAATTACTTACAAACTCATGGGCTTTTATACAACTACGAAATTCATCTAAAAGTTAAGAAAACATTTATTTGCGTATGTTGGAAAAAGAGTTGAATAAATGTTCTCATCATGATGTTCAAAAGAACTCAACTTCCTTTAGCTTATCATCATATATAGTAATGATTTAGGCTATTCATAAGATTCATCTGGGCCACCATCGAACGACGCGTAGATATCAGTATGAGTATATGACACGAATTGAAAGCAGTCCCCAATCCATAACTCTACACAGTATCAAAGAAGTCTGCATCAAACATAACTTTGCTCCCATTGCACTTCCACGCATGAAACCGCAAGATATCCATATATGAAATTCATAATAGTACAGAACTTCGAAATTTGGGAACAACGTCAATAAAGTATATGTTAGGCCAGTATGTCGAAGTTTCGAAAGCAGAAAGTCAGGTAGAAGATCTCGATAAAGTTTTGCCAAAAACTATTATGTCTCTGTTTTCACAAAAGCTTGGTATAAAATATTTGGGATTTTTAGATTCGTTGCAATAATTGACGTTTATAAAATGAAATGCAATGTTTCAAATGCTATACCTTATCGCCCGCAGAGGTTAAGTCGATTCCATTTGCATTTCATCGGCGAAAAGCCCATTCTACAGGCATACTCACCCTCGGACCCTTCCTTGCTCATTATCTTTGGTACCAACCTTACCAACAGGTGTTGGATTTCCATTAGTTGATCAGAAAGCCAATGTTATATATGGTATGTGTGTGTCATGTTCCCCATGAGTATCAGCGCTTTGCTAGTCTAGCGTCTTCGTCCTGCCTTTGGTGCATTTCCACATTTTCAAAACATTCAAACTTGTTCCTCTGTGTTTGTTTGAGGCCCGTGTGCACGTGGAGGGGAGGGGATCTGACATGTTGAAAGTAGGGGAAAGATGATGTGCTCTGCTGCGTCGAGAAGAGCGCGGAGGTCGGAGTTTGTTTCGACTGTCCCCCAGCGTTGTAGAAGCGAGCATGGGACGGTCTCCATGGCGTGTCGTCGCAGCCAAGTTCTTTTTTTCTTCGAACCAGATGACCCCTGAACACTTTGACTCGTTCTTATTAGCGTCCGGTGCCGTAGGGGGAATCCTATGTGCGGGATTTCTTTTCTTTTTTCCTTCTATACGGTTAAGTGACTTTTTCCACGATAAAAGATAAAAGCAGACTAGCCTGTGCTCTTCCCCGCCAACGGGCGATCGCCTACCCTGATACTTGAAGTGGACCTCCAGCGATACTTACCTGAAGCCAAACGGTGGGAATCATGCCGGGTCTGATCTCAGCTAGGCATCCGGCCCAAGCCAGCAAAGCGAACTCCTTCATAACGGAGTCCCTAGCGGAGCACGCACCTCCTCAGCAGGCTTTTATATGTCTGACGCGCTCAAACACCTTTGCTAGAGGCGCTTCAAAAAACCAAGATTCCTCTCTAAGAATAAGCAAATGCCTCGATTACACACGCACATAATCATATCGCATCAAATTTGGTACATGAACGCGCAAGAGCCAAGAGGAGCAAAGTACAAATTATTGTGAAACAAATTGCAGTCGAAAATTGCGGCAGGCTTTTTTCTAAAAATTTATCATAATTAAAGGGGAAAATCACTTGTTTACAACGTACAGATAATGATTTTGATTTTGAACTCTTTAACTAACCTTTTCTTGTATTTGCTACTTGTTTTATTTATGTAGTGTATCCAATAAAATCAGCAAGCATGCATGAGGAATCACCGCTAGGACAAGCATACAAAGTACACTAATCATGAACAAAAAAATTATGCAGTCTTTGCAAGTACTAATGGTTTTTGGCCATATCAAACATCTCACTTCCATTCCTCCCCTATTGAACATTGTGAATCGTCGCTTTGATGGGAATGCCTTTCAAAAATGCATGAGTTAAATCTAAATACACTAATCATGAACAAAAAAATTATGCAGTCTTTGCAAGTACTAATGGTTTTTGGCCATATCAAACATCTCACTTCCATTCCTCCCCTATTGAACATTGTGAATCGTCGCTTTGATGGGAATGCCTTTCAAAAATGCATGAGTTAAATCTAAAAATGTAGTATCTTTAAGTCGAAGTAGCTGTATAAGGTGCGATGCTGTTGAAGCCTTCAGTGATAATGCTGATCTCCAAATTGCCCCCCTTTCTTTGCGACCATCTCAAAAAAAATTCGTAAAGTTTGATTTTGATGGCATATAAAACTGGACAATGGTTCTCAAAGGTCAGATGGCGCAGTGGGGTATATGTCTGCTGCACAGAAAGTCTCACCTGATCCTTTTGTTAGACTTTGTCGAAACCACACGGCATTTTGCAAACCAGTGTTCCGATGATGGCCCCAGATTTGAGACTAGCATTCGCTACTAGGCTCAGCGATATACTTGTCAAATGGTCACGAATAATAAGATCATCTTCCTCAGTAAAAACGTACGTGTGCCGCCTTGAAATTTTTTTCGTTTTGTCACATTCTTTCATAAATAAAAAGAATATTGTGCACAGGCGACCGACATATGCGAGGTGACTTATGACGTTGAAATGGATACCAATCTAGCAGCGGCGAGTTTCTGTGAACAGCAGCATCCTTACTCGCTGAAATCGTTCGGAAGGAATGGAGCTAAAACGATTTGCACGATAGGTGAGAAAGCTATAACTTGAAATATCGACTCACTTTTCGAGCTAGGATTACTAATATCCAAAATACGAAGTTTCTCTGGGCTTGGAAATCGCGAAAATTTCGTATGACGGTAGAGAAAGAAGCAGATGTGAGATGGAAGAGTAGTGGAAGTGTTAGATAAGGATGGGTACCAAGGCCCAATGGCGGTTCGAAAAAAATTTGGGGGGGGGGGGGCGCAGAAACTTTTTTCGATGCCGTCTTGAGATTCTTTCGGATATTTCTCGGAATTTTTGCTGGCCTATAACCCTATTCGAAAAAAAACAAGTAGCAGCAGCCAGGAGAAGCTAGAGGGATGATTTGCCGGCGCGCGAATTGTCAGTAGAAGTTACGAAAGCTAGCTGCTAGATAGTGTCGTGCAAAACGGCTGTCGCTCGTGTGTGAGATATAAGCGCAAGAGTAAGCCCCTACATAATTTTATCAAAATTAGATTCTATGCAAAACATACATATATAAAGTTTGGTATCCCACATATGCACAGGAAGCTACTTCAAATGCAAAGAATCGGAAGTTCTCATAGACAAAACCTGCTATATCGTGAAAGAGGAGAAAACGATCCTCACGGCCTTCACCCAAAGTGGTTGTGGCAGCAGACACACAGTACACAAGTTTAAAAGCCAATTCGAGCAGAAATGGGTTGCAAGTAAGTGCCACCAATAGATCGAATTCTTACGATGTACGAGAATGTGTTCAGCTTTCTTTACCAAGCATCCTATGTTATGGATTGCCAACAGCCCTGCTGACTCTATCACAAAACATCTCAAATTTGCGCTGCGGAAAGGTAAGGCTAAACATATGAGTATCGTTGCTGTGTTGTGATAGGTACGAGTAAGCTTTAAAAATAAAAATATACGAGTGGATTTCGCAAAAACTGCAGACCTGCATAACAGTGTTCCAATCCACTCGGAACTTGTTTTGCGAAAATCGTATATGATCTATGTCTTTTCTCCCGGATAATTAACCCAGTATTGCACTAATTACAGCGTTAGAAAGCTGATTTCCTCAAGCAGAGCCGTAGAACTGCTCTCAGTCTTCCTTTTAAGATTTCTATTGAGTGGCCGTAGACTATGTCCTTACAAGGAGATGATTACATAACCCCTGGTGCTAAAATATCATTTGGTTTAACAGTGCTTTTTTCTCATCTGTATTAACATCTGTCTCCAGAGAATTTTTTGTTTAAGAAATCTTAGTCAAAGAATGGACGAATGAGCGAGGGAGACTCGACGGCAATGGTCATAGTGACCAGTGCGAGGACCCATACAAAAATACCGCGAGGAAGTGTTGTGGGGGCTGATGAGAAACTATCTCTGCCCGTACTATGTTCTCGGCCAGCAGAAGAATTGCCAAGCTGTAAGTTCTACATCAAACTGTTCTCTCATAAAATCTAGAAAAATGAGAGGGAAGGCGGCGTAAATTTGCTCGAGAGATGCTTTCGATTGGCGGGCATAATACGTAGTGTTTTGGAATCGCGAAACCTTAGGTTTAACCTGGATATCTGCCAGAATTACTGGACAAGCGCCTGAGAACGCATTTAGCGATAGTAGAGTATTTGTAGCGCCGAAGCTCAGACTTGAACACTCCTTAATTGAGTTCTAGACTGTGACTCCTGCAGACAGCAGAGGATGATACAATAGCACAGGAACGACTCGTCGGAATGGGATTTGTGACAAGCAAAACAAGCAAGAAAACCGCTTTGCCTGGTCTTAATTAGGGTTCAAGTCCAGGCGCGATTGCACGATTAAAGACTTCTGCTGAGTTTTACTGGAATAATTTTTTTGGGGAAAGAATGGTGCGCCCTACGTTCCGCACTATCCAAAAACCATTGTCTTTGCTTTCGTAAGCCGAGCATTTAGGAGTAATCACCAACAGTAGATGCTTGCATTAACCGTAATGGATTTTCCGTACTAGCCTTACCGGATAAAACTCCTTTACCAAAACACGAACATAACTAGAGAGAATTTTTAGAAAAATAAAACTCATATTTCTTTCGCAGCAACTTTCAGACGTTCCAGCTCTGATGGAAAAGTTTAGTGAACTTGGCCTCAAATCGTACATAAAGGAAGACAGACATAATAAAAAACGTCCCTTCTTTGTGTTGCGAGAATATTGCTCGTTCGATATGTCTGAGGAGCAGGGAGAGAAGGGAAGGTTCGCGGTTGGCACGAAACGTCTTCACAAAGGATGTTCGGTAAATTGGAATTGAGTCAATCATGTTAGGGTATTGACTGAGTTAATTGTGATTCAGGCATTTTTGAATGGCTATGCTGCGTCACCACTTGACTTCAAGAATGTCAAAGATTTTAAAGATATCCTCAAAGATGTTAGTTGTTGATTGTTTGTAATTTTTTCAAGGGAGCCTTAACGAGTTTCATAAACCTCTGTAGCATCTACTTTTTTTGCACAATTCATTGCAGTCAGATTACTCCTATATATTGAAAATACTGGAAATATTATTTGAGGAAAAAGTAAACATAGTATCAGTCCCTGGACGACGGAAAAAATCAGAAACAGAATTGGAGAATGAAGAAACTTGTGAAAAAGGAGCAAAATATCTAGAAAGGAATCATTTTGAGTTCATTTCTCAAGATGAAAAGCCGAAGGTATTTATTTTTTGCTGCAGTCGCTTACATTTGGCAAAAATACAAATCTAGTCTGCCGCTGAGAAATCTGCTTGGGATCCGAAAAAACCGGATCGTACGTGTGCTGATACACCACGGATCGCACTGGGATTCTCACAAAAAGGTCTTGTTGACATTCCAGCAACTGCCCGTCACTTCACAGTTTGCACTTATGGTTTGTAATCACACATTCTTTTGTTTTTAAAATGAAAAGGGGAGAGATGTCTTTACCACAGGAGCAGCACCTCCGAAGGTTGATGAGAGTAAACTCTGTCATTTTGCTGCTACTTTCGAAAATGGAAAATGCAAATGCAAATCTGGCACTGGCACCACAAACATTGAAAAACGTTTCAAACTATCGGATTCTGACAAAAAATTAGCAAATGACGTGAGCCATCACAGAATTTTCTGCTGCAATAGAGTTCTAACTCACTAATACTTATCCTTAAGGGAAAATTGTGCCTAGATTGCGAAATGGAAACATATCATTCTCTCGTCATACTGTTGGACTTTGCCAATGATGGTGGCAAGGTAAGTAAAGCCACATATCACACTACTCTATCGATATGAAATATATTTTTTTCCTTTAGGCTGACATATTCGCAGACATCGCCACACAGATGATATTTCCTTTTTTTGCTACTGAATCTTATATCACTTTGATAGCTTGGGGTCCAAATTATGACTTCCAAAGTAGGGATCGTTACGGACTTGCTGATGACGGAAAGAATTACGATTACTGGTATGTGTGCCTTCAACGTATAAGTGTTGATCTTCAAATGTAATCTACAGGAATGACCAATTAAAGAAGATTAAGTCTGGTTCAAGACCGCAGCCACGTTCGAAAACTTTTGAGGCCATTAAGGATAGATTCGTTAGTTTTACTGAAAGTCATTGATTATTAACTCGAAGAATGAGCTTAGGATGACGCACCAAAACACCGAAGAGTGCTGATCATAGTCACCTCGGGTACGGAACAAATCGGGTCGTACGTGTTGGGGGTAAGAAAGTCCTATTTGTGCTACTATGGCCTAAGAAGAAAACCTCCTTAATCTGCTATATTGACGCTTTGCTTTTGAAATAATGGTAATGTTTGTGTAGAATATTTCAATTTATTTTGTTTACAGGTAAAGAACGCAAAATACCCAAAGGTCTTCCTCTTCGTCGTCGATAATCCAAACTTCGGACAGACTTGGTCAGCTGATAAGCGTTATCACGTCAACTCAGCGGACCTAGCAACAAAGGAATTACGCGTTAGTACCATTTTCAAAAACACCTGCAAGATTTTTAGATTTGTAGTATATTAGCAAATAATTCCGAATCAAAAGTCCTTTACCTCTTTGGGTGTTAATAGGTTTTTATTCCAGGATGCAGCAACTGACATTGGTCAGCAAGTTGACCGCAATGTTTGCCTTCGTTACGAATAAATGTTTTGTTTTTGAAATTTTCGATTTACAACATTGAACTTTGACGAAAAAGTTGTTGTGACTCAAGTTGGACTTCACTATGTAATCTAGTAGAGCTTGAGACGTCAAAACTTGCTAGCGACCAGCACACCTTGGAGAACTTTTTGAGAAACAAGAATTGTTCATCTAGTTACCATGGACCATCTCATTTTAAAAATGAGTCATCTTCGAGTCTGTATGATTTAAGAGATCACTCAAAAAGATTATATATTAACATGGATTGCATACTTAATTTTTTTTACAAAACTGCGACTGCCTAAAAGGAAGTACACCTTCGTTGATTAGATTCTGAATTAGATGATACTCTTCAAGCGCGTTCCGCATCTCTGGATGTCTAATCTAAAAATTTTATCACCCACAGTACGAACAGTTAGAGGCGATTTTTTCTCCCTGTACTAGGCAAGTTTCATTATTAGGGCTTCCGTGGTGTAGCCCAAGAAGCTCATGTGGACTGACTACGTATATGATTTCGAATAAGCAATTTTCCATAAGAAAATTACTGAAAGTTTCGAAGAAGATATTGTGGAACATTTACCTTAACACAATTAAAAGTTTGAAGCCTTCTAATAGTCAAGGAACAGTAAAGTAAATTTTCTACGTCATGGCAATATATACTTTTAGCTAGCAAATTTGACACTTTTCTGGTAAACTATCTCATTGAGCTGCAAAATCTGTAATTTGGAATTTTTCAATTCGATTTTCTTTGAAACATGAAGATTTCTGCAATTAGCGATGCCTTCAAATTCGGTCTAACTTTTCGGAAGGAACAAGTCACTTCAAAGGATTTTCGAAAAAGAGAGTTTTACGAAACTTCTGTTTGGGCCATATCATGACTGAGGCGATTACTAATGTTATTTGCCAACTGGGTTGGTGATTCACAACAAAAATTTTCTACAGTGCATCGTGTATTTCTCCACTGAATAATGGTCACATTTCCAAAAAATCGTTCCTTTTGCTCGAGGTCTGGCCCATAAATAATATTAGGTGGATTTGTGCCGTTTTTCAGATCTATCCTTAAATCACTCAGAATAAAGGATAGAGGCCCGTAGTAAACCCTCATCAGGGCATCTCTCTTGAGGCGGACCGGAGTTGATCTCATCGCGCCTCAGCACATTGCCAGGGGAGCGATTGATTTGGAGCAGATTACTTACCGGTCGTTCGCGTTTTCAAAGGTGGAACGTTTCTTCCATTTGTGCATTGTAGTCGAATGGATAAGACTAATGCGTTTCAAGCGGCAGAGTTGTGGTTCGAGTGCGGCTAGCGACACCATTTTTGCTACTTCGCCTGGCGACCTTTGATAGCGGCCGTTATCAAAAAATTGATGATAGCTGCTGAGAGATTTCACCTAGCAAACAACGAGATAAAACAAATATACAATAATATGGCACTCATACAAAGAAAAATTACACTTAGCGAAAAACGACTTAGAAGATAAATTTACTTCTTTGTCATCTGAAGCTACGTAAAAAACGCGCATCATCTGTAAGAAAAATGCAAAAAAAAAACTTTTTTTCGACCGTCGCGCAATCAGCTGTTCATCGATCCTCACTCACATAGGCGCCCGAAATTGTGCAGTTTTGGGAGTTTTGCACCTCAAAAGAACGTCAGCTGCGATGTTTCGTAAGTTATTCGGGAGCAACTTACGGAGATTTTCTCTGTGCTCTCCTCTTTAGCACAGTATTTACCTTATGTCGTCGCCCGGCTCATCTCCGATGACTCGGTCGGGAGCTGATCTCCCTGCCGGGTTTCATCTGAAGCTCACCTGTAGGATGACCTTGCATACTTACACCACGGAAAAGTGGGCAGTCCTCATCTCATCCGACAAAGCCTCATATGAGGGCCTCAGGGGAGATCATCTCCCGTGACCGAGCTTTACTACGGGCCAGTATGTTTTTGTTCGGATTCCTTTGATGTTCGCTAAAAAATTGTCAGAATCTTCAACCTATGGTTGAAGATTCTGACAATTTTACCTACCTACCCTAACTTTTGCTATTTTTTGAATTTTCTGGGCTTTTGGAAACGCTTCAATAACAGTCAGATAGAGTAAAGGAAATGTAATGTAATGCAATTTCCGGCATTGTAGCTGGCTTTTCATTTTCTAAAATTGTCATTTTGACAAACCTCCCAGAACATCAAAAGACAAGCAAACAGCTAGAGTGTCATGGAGCTTCTTCACTTTTGAACAGATGTTTTTTCTTTTTGACTAGTAAAGGCCTCAAAGGAACATGTCTACTTTACGACTTCGCAGTGAAGACTTTTGGAAAACTTGTTCTAAAAAATACTGAAAACCCGGCTATCCACTCCAAAAAATAGGTTTTGTAGCATTTTGTTTATTCTATCCAGTTATTATCAAAGCTTTCTCAAAAGTCCTGAACGAAAATTTCAAAATATTGCTGAAGTTAGGGTACGAAAAATGCATGGGTTGGAGATTGTGGCGGTTTTTCGAAAGAACATTGAAGTAATCCGAACATAAACATCACTGCTGTAAAGGAAAGAAATTCTGCAAAGAACATTTTTCGAGTTTCGACGAATATATTTCCTTGAAAGGCAGGCCTGATGGCGCGACTTCACAGTGGCTATGGTTATTTTGATTACAAGGAAGAAGCACCTTTACCAAAAACCCAAATACGTGTTTTTGTAACCTATTTCGTGAAACATGCGCCGCAGAACACTTGGCAAATCGCACATTCAAACGCTCATAACTCCTCCCAGGTATTCCCTTGGTAGATAATACACATATAATGATCAGCATTTCAAGACGAGTCCGATGATATACAGCATGTTTGGTATGGCTGGGTTAACTCCTAAACATTCTCTGCTAAGCATGTTTTCTGATAAGAACAAATGATATGTCAAAGCCATGAAACGCGATGAACCTCAAATCAAAATTTGGGATTTATCGAAAAATTCCATTTTTCAAAAACTCAATTGTTCTTATCAGCAACATGCTTTGCACTGTTGGGTTAGATAATTTGTACAACTTTGGAAGGTCTTCGTTGACTTCGAAAAAAATACCTTTGAAGAAAAGACGATTGGCCGCCATCAGGACCATCAGGGGTCATACAAAAGCTGGGAAGTGCGGCTTATACAGCTTCTTGCTCGTACGATGTGTTCACACAATATCACTCGTAATTTGTGAAAAAAATTGGCAACGGCCGCTTAATTCAGGCGACGAGTGTCGGAGTTAGGCGACCGCCGCCGGCCGCCGCCGGAGTCAAATTCCCATAGATCACCATATCTCGATCCAGAGTGAACGACTTTTGAATCCGAGGCACCATTCGACTCAGCTCGGCGAGACTTAACTTCAGATGGATAGGTGTACCACTGTCAGCATACGGTAGGTATACGGTAGATAATCGGTTTTTACGAATACCTCTAGATTTTTATTTGAATGGGTTACTCAGTGTGATATATCTTAGTTTGCTACGGTGTCACTTTGTATGGGTACTGTAGGAGTACAGCAAAACTCACTCTGCACAAATATTTCAAAAACTTGCCTAGAGTGACTACTTCATGCTTGATTACGAAAATTGTGCGCAACTTATTTGTAACTCAATATGTGAGCCTGAACACTGCTCGCGGCAAGCAACGACACCTTACTGGTGACTCGCCAGTAAGACCTGTTGTAGCGGAACAAACAGTGAAAATGTTACTATCTAACACATAAACCCAAAAGAGGCTAAAAAGCGGAGAGTTTCCAGAAATAATAGCTCCTTTTCTTGAATTTCGCAAAGAAGCACCCTGATATGGTACGCATTGAGTTAAAAAGACTCGACGATGCATTTTTCTGCTGCTGATGGCACGGTGCAGAGATATCATACCGCTCACAAGATATGCAAGATTTCCATGAAGTCCGCGATATTCCCGGAGTTCCGCGACATTCTAGGACCGCGAAATTCCAGAAATTTCGAAATTCTTGGAATCACGTGAATCATGCAAACTACGCAGCGCCATAACTTCCTTCGGAATGAATATATTCTAAATCTAAAAGCAGCATTGTGTTCAGCTCCCCAAGGCGAATCTTCTGATTTACAGTCCTTGATTTTCCGATTTGAGTATTCTTGAGTCTTTTTGCAGACGTCTCTTTGCAAAGTTGCGAAAGCGCTCATTACCCTTAGAAGATTACAGCAAAAATTTTTCGATAGCTCTTTTTCATAGATTATGGAGAGCTAAAAAGTAGGCACAGACCTTTTTTAAAGAATACATTAAGGGCTGGCGATTTCTGAAATAATTATGTCATTCTAAATTTCACTCACCATAACCCTGAAATATGA